AAGGGTGAATGGTTGGATGGATGGAAGGATGGATGGTTGAATGGATGAATGGAAGGATGGTTGGATGGATGGAAGGATGGGGGAGGGATAATGGAAGGATGGATGGATGGATGGATGGATGGATGGATGGATGGATGGATGGATGGATGGATGGATGGATGGATGGATGGATGGATGGAAATGTATGTTCACAGGCGATTTAAAGGGATAGTTCTGATTTTGTGAAGCTGGGTTTTATGAAAATTTTATGGTCAAGTAAAATGAAAGTTTGGTGATTCTAAAAGTGACGTTCTATCAGAACGTTATTAATAGTTTGAGCCTTATCAGTCACAAGAAAAAGACAGATGCTTTTTTAAGCTCCACATGGAAAACTTGGTAAAGAAACTGAAAGTTAAACTGGGTTTCTTTTTCAGAAACAGATCCTGTTTCACTCTGAATGTTAGGAAACACCTTGTATCTGTGACTTTCCTTCCCTCCATTGATTACGGTGACATTATTCATATGAACGCTCCTACAAGAACCCTGCAGATGTTGGATGCTGTCTATCACGGTGCATTAAGATTCATAACTGGCTGTAACTACCGTACCCATCATTACTCCCTGTACTGGTTAACCAACTGGTTATCATTAACTTCATGTAGACTCTCACTGGTACATTTTCATCGTTAAATCACTTCTTGGTCTGCTGCCTTCATACATCTCCTCCTACATGTCTCAGTGTGAGTGCAGTTACAGCGTGCGCTCTCAGGACATTATTACCTGCAGTGTTCCCTCAGTGAGGACTGAACTTGGCAAAAGGGCCTTCTCCTACTCCGCTCCTGTTTCCTGGAATATCTTGCAAAAAGATCTGAAGCTCTCAACCTTGACCTCTCTAAGTGGCTTCAAATATTTGTTAAGTTCCAAGAACCAACGTAGACATGTTGCTGTTTTTAGTTTTCCAATATTCTACATCGCTTTTCCATCAGTTTTTTTGTTTCGTTTTTTTTAATACCATTTTCTTCCATTTATTCTTCTCAATTTACGTACTTTCTTTTATGCTTGTCTACTGTTGTCATCATTCTTTGTTAAAAATCAGGACTCTCTTGTAAATGAGTCCCCGAGGCTCAATGAAACTAACCTGTACAAATAAAGGTTGAATGAAAAAAAGGAAGTTTCGCACCAGGGTGGGACCTTGTTTGTATCATTTTCTTAAGACATAAAATAACTCAACAATGTATGTAATGACTGCTGCAGAAACTTCACTTTTTCATGACAGCATTAGTTTAGTTTGTTGTTCGTATTATTACAAAAATGTCATCACTGTCACAGCTGAACGCTTCAGTGTGGACAGCTGCTGTTTTCAAGCATCCTCATTTGTAAAAAAAAAAAAAAATCATGAAAATCTGTTTTATAAAGCTTTACAGCAACACCAGATCTGCATTATTCCATAAGAGCTCTCATATGTGCCAACAGACACTTCTGGGCTAACATACCAAACAACCTATAAATGTGTACAACTCTTGGCTGTGTTCAAGTTTTATTTTGGAAGCTTAACTTTAACTCTGACTTTATATTATAGGAGGGTTAATTGTCCCTCTGGAGCCGATTTGTATTCTGGATAGTTTCAGTGCATTGACAGTAGTTTGGTTTAATTATAAGGAGCATCTTTATTGATGTAGTTTTGGGGTGCAGCCAAATTGTGGAACAAACTGTCTTTTCACATTAGACGTATATCCTCCTGCACTTAAAACTCATTTTAATGCTTTGGCTTTTGTTGCCATGTTAGATTTTATTGTTTTGTTCTTGCTCATATTCTTTTATCTTTCATTTCTAATCGTTTTGTTTGATTATACTGCACTGCACTTTGTTGATTTGTTTTAAAGGGCTTTATAAACTAATTGAATTGACAACATTTGTTTCACGCTGTGGTAAATTTCCATTTAGGCCCATGTGTAAATCCATTTCTGAGCTGATCTTACAAAATAAATGAAAATCAAGTGCAGACGCGCAGAACATTTGGCTCATTTGTCACTAATGACTGTTGTGCTGACAGAAAAGAAAAGTCTTTTCAGTGTTTACACTTGTGATCACCTTGTTGATGGTTTTTATGTAATGGTTGTTCTGACATGCCCAGAACCCTCAGCACAAGAGCTTTTAAATCTCAAGAGCCACAATAATAACAAAACAGCTGAAGTGCAGATCAGCTGATTAAGATGTGACACCAAACACATCATGGTGCGTTAAGGAGCGGAGCTGCTTTACGGAAAATGCTCCTTTATTTGATCAGACCTCCTCCAGTTTCCACCTGGACGTGAAGAGCTACAGAATTTGAACAAAGATGCAGACATGTACCTGTACCAGTCCAGGCCGCGGTCATAAAACCTGTCGAAGAAGTGCGGCTCGGCGCCGAACGCCCGCGCGTCCGGATGGATGCGCAGGAACTCCAGCAGCGCGCGCGTGCCTCCTTTCTTCACGCCGATTATAATGGCCTGAGGAAGCCTTTTAGTCCCGAAGCTGTTGGACACGGGGATGCCGTGTCTGTCCCCGTCGCTCTGGGGCGTGAGGAGCTGTCGGTCCGCGTGCACCTGCTGCGCGTCCTCGAGCTCCGTGCGGTTCGGACGATGGGGCGGCGCGTCCGGAGCCTGCTGGCTGTAGAAAGTCCTCGGAGCCGAGTCGCAGAGTCCCGTGAGGCAGTAGAAGAGGTAGGTGGAGATCAGGAGCATGGTGAAGAACAGGGGGGCTTTGGAGAGCACCTTCCCGGAGTTGAGCCTGACTCTGCAGCCACTACATCCCATGAGGTGATCTGCTCGACTCCAAAGGACCAAAACGGAGTCAGCATGCTTCTTCCTCCTACATGGAGTTCACTCCACACACACAACCTGTTGCACGATGGAGGAACTATGGAGGAACCTCTCTCCAGTCTTTAAAAATGAGAGTCAGACATATTTATTCCGTCTTTCCATGACTAGTTGTGCGCTCTGACGGTGTCCTCCTCCTCTTTTCAACCTCTCCCACACACCCATCCTCCAGCCCCAGTCTCCACCCTTCACGTCTCCAACACACAAAGTTTCTCTTTAGCTGAATGTTGCAGAAGCGAAGCAAGATTCACATTTTCACTGCTGCACATCATTTTTGTTCACATCTGTAATATGTGCAAAAGTGTCAGACAGACTTAGAGCTTTTGTAAAGAAAAAAAAAAAGAAAAGAAAAAGCTTAGATATTTTAGAATTATAAATTTAACAGTGCCTGTATCGGTCTGTTAGCAAAATATCTCACGAACCACTGGATAGATTTTAATGAAACCTGATCAGCTTTTGGAGTCGACCAGTTCAAGATGGCTCCCACGGCTAATGAATCAAATAAAAAAATGGCTGTAACTCTGTCAGCTTGGCACATGTTGAGCACATTGGTGTGAAAGTAGCTGAGAGTCATCCCCAAAACATATTCTGAGAGCTAACAGGTTGATTGAAACAAGACGCGTGACGTTATTGTCTAAATTTGACACAAAAATGTCTAAAACTGTCGTTTCTCAGCATGACATGACTTTAGTGGGCAAGTGTCAAGAAAGGCGTTGAGCGAAGGAATGCCATTAAATTTATTCATGTAAAAGAAAACGACCCTCACATCTTTGATTGATCCTCTGAAGATGTGACCTCGCAGGCAACAGATCTTCCAAGTCACGCCTTAAAAAGTTGTAAAAAAGAGGTTTGTGTTGCTCCATCACCTTTTCATCCAGTTGGGTTGGAGGGAAGGATCAGAACTGGGATGTTCCCCTGACTTTGTAACGTTGGAGCAGGTATTGGGTTTCTTCTGACAGTGAGCTGGAGTTCAGACTTTGAAATGTCTGTTTGAAAGGATGAGAGGATAAAAAAAAAGAGGGTGGAGAGATATAATCTGTCTGAAGGAGAGGCGCTCAGGCCCTGAAGCTACTCCAAAACATAATGAACCACTTCAGGCTCCCGCTGTACATTTGAGAGCTGCATGTTGAAGCTCTTGATTCAGCTGCTTATTTAATAATATTACAGAAAACAGATTAACTGAAGTTAGAATTAGAGGAAAAGTTTGGGTTTTTGTTGCCACGCATGACCCCTTTGTTT